CTAATATTTCACTGCTAACTTAGGGACGGCTAGCGCAGATTGCCCTCGTGTAGCTTTGCGAGAAATTCCAAATAAACCAATCATTATAATTGCTAGCCTGGTCAATGTTAGGTAAAAAGGTAATCGTGTCGCAAAGATAAAACAAAACAAAACAATATAATAACACGCCACTAGTTTGGCTATTATATTTTACATTTAAATAACTTTGGAATGGTGTACACTTATTCCACCTTGTTTCTAAGCAGTTAGGGCTGCTGTCTACATCATACTCTAGAAATAGTATAAAAGTCACTGCCTATTTAGCCATCTTGTTGTCCACCAAAAGGAAAAATACAGGTGTAATTTCTGTCAGATAATTTACTTCAAATCCTCACTTTTCCTGTACGTAGTTCGATAATTTCATTCAGAATCAAAACTGGAATCTGAAGGGCATTTGATGCGTTTACAAATTAAAAGTCTGAGCCAATGATACCTAAGGTTCAGGTATAGTTGTCACTAATTTCAAACAACTGACTACAGAACTTTATCGGGCTTTTTTAATCGAATGACGGAATTGACTGCCACTTTTATAATACACACACAGCTGAATCACGTCTCGAAACCCAGGACTCTTAGAACCACAATCCAACACGCTAACCATTACACTATGCCCGACTGAAGATTATCAGTATACCATTCTGTTTGTTATTTGTATTGTTCTTATAACGCAGGCTTGCGAATTTAAACTTCATAAAAGTTGTTTTGGTTTTAATAGCGGATTTTCCATAATTCAGCTACGCAGATTTTGAAAATAATATTCATTTTTTACCATCACGTAAAGATTTTTTTACAAATCGGGAAGAAAAAAAAACTTTTGCTTAGATCAAATTATTATTTCGTTTACCACAATGAACATTTTTTATTATTGTGCGTTTTAACAAAAAATGCAAACAAACTGAAGAAAAGGGAAGAACATTGATGTCAAACGCATATGCAACCTCATTCATCCTGATTTTTTTGTGTAAAATGTACGTCTTTTAGTATCAAAACTACGTGTTGTGGTCTTTCTTTTATGTATTGCGTTATGACGTTTTGTGAAAAATCTGTACGTGATAGAGAAAAATGGATATCTTTTTCGGATTCAGCGTATATGAATTAATGCAGAACATGTAAAAATTTTAAGACGATAAAAACATCGTAGGCCTGTGTAATACGCCTTATAATGACGCGGGCATCATCAGATTTTAGCGTAAAAAAAGTACACTGTCTTACAAAATCGTCTAATAAGATTTACGAGTGAGTTTCAAAAGACAATGCCATAATGTCTTCATCTATATAACGTATTACTTGCTGCATATTACAGAAAAATACTTTGGAGTTAAATACTAACTAATAACTAAACTCCAGATCTTGATCCTCTTAATATCTCTTTTTATATTACACAGAAAATACACAGTGTAAATAGTAATATAATATTTGTTTAGAAGACATAGATAATAGGCAGTTAGTAGATGAATGTTGTTAAATTGGAGAAAAAATCTTGGGGAACTGGTAATAATACGACGTTCCTATCCACTCGAGTTTATTGATCTGATGAAGATACATGGAAGTGCATCGAAACGTCGTCTGATCCCTAGTTCCACAAACAACTTTCAGGAACATAATCTCTTGGATTATTAAAGTAGTCGAGATTACACTTCTGGTTCATCAGTATTAATTTTATCACAGATGAGAAACGCAAGTAATCATTATTTGCCGTAAGTGTAACACTGTAACACTAATCAAACTATAAACCCAGTGGACATGATGAATTCTGCTACTGATTGAAAGACTTCGTTGGCAGTAGTTAACCTACAATACACAAGGATGCCATTTCAGACTCTTCTCATTGGCAATGTATGCTACAAATCTTGGTTTATAAATTTCAAGGGCCGGGCGTGGCCTACTGGTAAAAATGTTCTAACTGTGAATTCGAGGGCTCATGGTTCGCGGGAAGTTGCTTAAAAATACGCCGCGTTTCGCACTTTTGGGCCGCGGGGGAGTTATAAGAGTGCCTGTCAAATCCCACTGTTCCATCAGATAAGAGTAACTCGTGAGCTGGTGGTTGGTGCTGATGACTAGCCGCCTGCCCTCTAATCTATAAGCTCAAAACTAGGGACGGTTATGTGCAGATAAGCTCTTTCGTAACTTTTTACGAACATTTTGAAGCAAACAAACGAATTTCAAGAATTGTTACTGGTTAAAGAATCTTGTTTATAAATATTAAGTTCTCTTACTCGATATTAAAGTTTGGTTTACTCTTAATTTCTCCAAGTTACAAACTTCAACGATACTTAAAAGTATGTAACATCTGTGTGGGGGTTCCTAAGGTCAAGTGCTCTTACTGTCTACGTTACGAAGTTCAAGTTGTGCCAGTGCCAAAATTACTTGAAACAGCAAAGCATTATGGAGCCTTTTGGCAAAATTTTGTTATTAAAAAAAAAGGAGTTTTGAAAGCATTATTTTCCTTGAAAGAAATTTGAAATTTTAAGTTAACCCTTATCAACGATGGTTCTTCATCAAAATAAATGTATGTACTTAATAATTAACGAATTAGCTCAGTCGAGTTTTTAGGATCAACGAACATATTTAGATTCCATAATGAATTAAGAATGTTTTCGATAACCGGATGTCTTTCGCTGGTATTGAAAGAAACTCGTTTCATTTTTATGTTTCAATTATTCTGATAATGTAGTTTTAGTATATTGAAGCACTAGTTTACCTTTTACAATATTATATTGACTTATTATGTGATTGAAAACTTATACGTCATTTTTTGATACCGTGATTCACAACAGATCAAAAAGTCTTCCTGGCATTATAATTCAGAACAGATCACAAAGTCTCCTTCAAACTATAATTCAAAAGAGATCACAAAGTCTCTTTGATACCAAAATTCAGAACAGATCGCAAAGTTTTCTTGGCACCATAATTCGAAACAGATCACAAATTTGATCAATAATCTGAAAGTATTGGAACAGAACACTATTTCAAATTGATAATTACTTTGTTGTGAAATATAAAACATTTCTGTGAAAAACTAACTTTCATATAGGTATGGTATATGATATGATTCATTTGTAAATCCATAAAAGTACTTCCACCCCCACTCTCTGCTGAACCATTTTGCTGTACTACAGTGTCTTTTTTTGTTCTCGTTTTATCATATCTGGATTATTTAATCTCACTAGCAATTTAAAGCTAAGATACTGATCCGATATACCCTTAATTTAACATAAAACGTTTTTGACACAAACAAGGTGGAAATATTTGTTAAATTTGGTTCATAAAATGCTCTTACTTAACAGATTTTGTTGTTTACTTTTTACTATCGCTATCTGTACTAATTATGACGCGTCAAACCAGTAATACAAATATTTTTGAACCACGTGAAGGAACACGTGATTGGTGAACTGTTAAGTGATATTTTGAGTTGAAATACTCCAGTATAAGTGTAAACTTAACACTAAAATTAAGATACGTTATTGAAGTATCTTAAAAACTCTAATCAGAATCATATCAAAACATATTAAAAAGTTTAATATTTGAATTACAAGTAAGTATAAACTAATAAATAAATAAATATATATTTATTTATAAATATTTCTCACAAAACACGGTTCAGATTGATGAAATTAAGTTGAATGAACGGAAACTGCCTGTTCTAGAAACACAAACGTCTTCCTCTACACTTGTGTTTCTAGAACAGGCGGTTGCTGTCTAATCAATTTAGGTTCATCATGAATACTCTGCCTAAACAATCTATCTAAGAGTTTTTTTAGACTTATACTGATCATTTTTAATTGCCAGAGGAAACCCAATGTAAATACTTTAATGCAGTCAATATACATTTATTTTTCCCATAAGTTCTTCTCATAAACATAATAAGTTTTTTCATCTCCATTGAATTTTGCAAAAACAGTTGGTCAATTTTTTTAGCTTTTAATTTATAATTTTTAACACGTAATTAATAGCCCCTCCTCTGTGGCTCAGCAGTAAGCTTGAGAGCTTATAAGGTTCGAATTTTGGGGTTCCATCCTCGTATTATTTGCAGCGCAGGTAGCACTGTATATAGCTTTACGCTAAAACAACAGCAAAAAACAAAACTGTAGCTAAACTTCATTTTTAGTCTCCCAGCTTGTTGGGTGAATAATTTACAATAATAAATTGGTAACGTACACACTGCGTATTATTTAAATGCTATACAAATATAGGTTCGCTGTGGTGAGTGAAAGACACCATGCATATAATATTCACTTCGTCAGTGTATGGGGCCTAGTATTATTCTAGGGCTACTGATGAAGGGTGGATTTTCCCGAAAGTGACATAACTAAGTGAAAAGTGGAAAATCGAATGAAGTATTAAATCCATCATCTGTTGATCTTGATGGGGTAATTTTGAAAGTAGATGAGGAAATATTGCAAGTCTGTGAGCGCCCCTGGTGAAAATTATAGCGAACCGCTTTGGGAACATACACACCAAATAATGAAAATAAAATAAGTAAACGATAATTTTACAACACCGACGCAATTTTACGACATTAAGTTAAGTCTTTAGTTTGAGCTTAGTCATATTTTTGTTGTAGTTGTTAAGCACAAAGCTGTACAATGGGCTATCTGTGCTCTGCCCACCACGGGTATCGAAATCCGGTTTCTAGTGGTATTAGTTCTCAGACATACCGCTGTGCCACTGAGGGGGCTTCATACTTGTTAAACATCCTTAACTGAATCAATTCGTTGATACTTTTCAGATATTTCCTTTTTTATTTGTTTGTTTATGTTCTGTGGAGAGGAGCGAGAAGGTTGTATGAAAAAAAATTCAAGTCTTTTGTCCAAAATCGTAAGAGTAGTTCTAACATTAAGTAAACGTATACACTTTCATAGGTTCAATATTACTATATAGATAATATAAAAGTGAGTTTCTGCATTAATAATTACCGTATATGTTACAATTGATAAATCTATATTGTGAGATAACCAGTGAACTATTCATTATAGAGGCGATGAATGGGAAGCTGACATTTATAACACAACGGTTAAAATGTCTACATATCTTCTGGCTTTTATTGTTAGCGACTTCAGCATGAGATCAACACCCAGTGGAGAGGTATGTTATCAGAATGAGTCTTTTGCATTGAGGTGTTATTATGTTATATCTCCAGATACATAAATTTAACTATAATCTTTTTCTTAAACTGTTTGAATACATAGTTCTACATGTTTATGAATGTTGAAATATGAAACCCTGTAACGGGTAATTATCTTAAAAAAAGTAAATATTTTACAAAATATATTTAAGTTGTCAAATATGTTTCTATATAAAAAAAAAAAACATTTTGTTAGTTACTTGTATTAGTTATACAATCTGGCCTATGATTCAGTTTTACGTATTATTCCAGTTTCTGTTTGATGTCGCTTTATGCTTTATATTGTTCTATGGTAAATTTTTACTTGCTGGCTGCAAAGTCATTCGAAAGGGTAACATAAAATCTTATTAGATATGATTTAGAATCTAATAAAATGTCTTCCAATATCTAGATTTTGCCGCATTTCAATACAAGAATCCTATAAATTGCTTTTATGCACTCTGCGCTTATACTTATTACTTTCGCTAAAACCAATACCCACTGACGCAATGATTTCCTGAAAGCTGTCGAATCAGAATTTGAGCCACGTCAACTGACGTAGGATTCTATTGCGATGATTGGTATTGATTCTTTTCTATTGAAATACCAAGACAGGTGGATGTTAACCGTTACTGTAGACTCCAACTGACTTTACAACTCTTCTGATCAGATGGAGGTGGGAGAGCTGTAAGCCAAGTTGAAAATCAATTTTTTTTCATGTTTTTACCACCTTTTTCTATCCAGTTAGATTCGAACTTTTCAGATATGTGCTACGCAAACAAACTTTAGTATAATTTTGTATTTTTTTTTTCCATACATCTGAAGTGCCAGAGACAATACACGTATATTTTAATTCACCCCTTTTACCAATCAATAAGGCCTGAAATCATTTAATTTCATGGCGTTTACATCAAAACGAAACTAAATATATTTTGACGATAAAAAAGGAATATAGTATCTTCTTAATTAAACTATATGAGTTTTCCTTACAATATAGCAAGTGATTAGCATTGGGATCTTTTTTTTTCGTCATGCGCAATTTTATCTGATAAACTGTCAATAATTATAAGCTTTTTATTAGGAGTTTTTATCAGGATTTATTTCTTATTATAAAGAGTTATTCATCCGAAATTTAATAGTCTTCTATTCACTTTAATGCGTCAGATTTGATAAACAGCTCTTACTCTGTTTATTTATTATCATTTTTTTTGTGTTTCCTCGTGCACTGACGTTAGTTACGTCCTCAACATATAAATTCAAACAAATTACATGATCGACAATAGCCACGAAATATTACCTATATCATTTGGCTGAAAACTTGAGAAAAATAGACTTTAGTCCTCGATATTAAGAGATATATTATGCTATAAATATATGCTTAGCAGAAAACTTTACTTTATTAATATACATTATCCAGTTTAGAGAGAAAACTAATATTTTAGAATCATTTATAAGATGTTAAATATAAAAAAAAAAGCCGGTGGTTACAATCTATGAGCTTAATAAATAAACTTCTAAAACACCAAAATAATAGAAAAACAAACAAACTAGTTATTCGGGTTATTAGTGTGTTTATCTTAGATCCGAACAAATTAATCACGTGATGACTTCAAAGCCGGGTACACTTTAATCATTTTACAGTCTGTTTATAACTGGCTTTAATTAGTCCTTGACTTTTTTTTTCACGCGCTAGAGGTATAAATAAAAGACATTCCTGGAAACGTAATTCATTATAATCAGAAAATATTCCTTTTGTTCAGCTAATCACAAATAGTATTTTAGAAAGTGTAATAAATTAAGCTCCTAGTTCAAATGATTATGAAACTCTAATTTATTTTTTCTCTATTAAACTAATTGAGAAGGAGTTTCAGTTTCAGTTTCTTCTTGAATAAACTTTAAACATAGTTTGTCAGCAAAAAAGTAAATGATAAGGATGGCAAAACAAAAACAAAATTTGGTTCGTTTTTCCTTTATAGTAGTCTCCAGTAGCAGCTTACAACGCTAGAAACCGGGTTTCGATACCCGTGGTGGGCAGAGCACATATAGCCCATTGTGTAGCTTTGTGCTTAATTACAAACAAACAAACAGAAGCAAACGTATAGGGCAGTGCTGAGATTAAACAACAACTGATTATACATATTCAGTAAAGATTACAGCTCCCTCTGGCCAGAACTTGGCCTTATGGTTTGGGGTTCGAAACTCTTAGCTGTGGGTGCTTTGTAAGAGTGACAGTCAATAGTTCTGTTTAGTTACTACCAGCCGCTTTTTAGACTATAGAAAAACGAAAAATATACGAATCGTGGCGTATGTGTATAGATAGATATTAAGAACTTAGTTAAAACAACGTTTAAAAGTACACAATAATTTTAAATTGTTGCAGGCACGAAGCATTACGAAAAATTTATATGTTTCTGTGACCCATCGACTCATCAGGAATGAAAATAACATTGGGAAAAACATTGATATCTTGCTATTTTGCAAACACATTGACCAATTATTTGACATACATGGTTCTGCCTCTCTTCAAAAAAAAGATACCTAGCAAAGCATTTCCACAACTCCTGGGCCCGAATCTTTAAAGTTAGATTTAAATTGTTAAATATTTCTAACGATTGTATCATATTTAATTTATAATTATTTCAGTATATTTCATCAATGTTATTCCAATTAACACTGTTGGAATCAGGATTGTTAACTATATGTTCTGTTAAATGTGCTCGTATTTTTTATTTTTAAGTGACTAAGCTGTAATAACTTTAAAAATGGAATAAGTGAGTTTTCTTACCACTCTGTTCTTTCAGAGGACGATCAAATATAATTTTTTTTTCATCTGTCAAATGCACCAGCGAGTTATTTAGTAAGTAAAGTTCAAATACGTGCAGTAGTGGTTTTGAGTGCTAGACGACACTATTTTTCTACTCTATCAATACATTAAAAAAAAGTAATTCAATTTCCTATCTAATGTTCCAAACGCATATATATATGTGGTATTTATGTGATCCTTTTCTATTGAAATATTAAGATCGACCGAAGTTACCAGTTATTACGGACCACAGCAGAGACTATAATTATTCTGATTACATGCAAATCGGAGATTCTTGAGTCAAATCAAAAATGAAACGTTTTTATGCTATATATACCCTTATTTTCGTATTCAGTTGAATCCAAGGTTTTTCAAATATGTGCCTATCATATAGACTTTAAAATCAAGTATGGGAAGCGTGATAACAAACGAACAATAACCTACTTTTGATTCAATTCATTGAGTTGCAAGATTATTATGCAATGAGTTAATTTGAGAAATTTCAAACACGAACTGTGACCCTTTCACTTTATATGATGTTAATGCCCAAAATTATCAGCTACTAATCTATATTGCAAATATTCAATAGTTAAGTACTGTGTTTTATTTTTTTATATTCAGTTTCGAGTGTGGGCCCGATCGTCTGTTTTGGATACGGCTGACTATGCACTGGAAATTGGTCCGAAAATTCTACACTTTTTTCAAGACTACTTTGGGATTCCTTACCCTCTTCCAAAAACAGGTTATGTATATAAGTCATGTATATAAATCCCTCAAATTCCATTTACACGTTAGCTTGTGAAAATTGGAATTGACTTTCACATTATTAAGGAGTGAGCTAATTTAAAACCAAACATTTATTTTAACAATTATTAACGTACATAATAAGTGTATAATAAAACTGTTTTGTTAATGTTATGAATGATATTTGACTAATATGGATAAATAAACCACTATTATTATTATTATTAAAAAAAATTATTTCCAGTTAACACTTACTTAATCGTCTTTTTTGTTTAGAAGATTCTAAAAAATGTAAAATAAGTATGTTGCACGAATGCAAACTTTGTAAAAAAAATTGCTATTCAAGAACTTAAAAAGAAACAGAAGAAAAATGCAATAAATAGAAATATAAATAAGGTTCCAATTACTAAGTTTTTATGGTTAACAACAGGTTAGAGACTTAAAGTTAATAATTAAGGAAACTTTTGTGTCCACAACCAGCAATAAAAAGGTGAAATAAATTTGATAACATGATTTTTTTTGTAATTTAGTAAATCAATTTTTCTGATGTATGGAACACCTTTGGAATATACGTAGCATATTGACGCCATGTTATTCTAAAATGAATTAATAATAAAGAAATTATCAAACACAAACTCGATTTATCCTTCAAAGCCAATAAATTCCTGTTTATCTCATTATACGACTGTTTTAATTGTCTTTTGTAATAAGAGAGTCCGTAAATAAGCTTAAGGCTATTTTATATTCATCTTGAAATGTTTTCCATCATATCCAAACTGTTGTACAACAAAATCATAGTCTTTTGTGCATGAAGACAGTTTTGCCATGAACATTGAGGCCACTTGTAATAGGTATAAAGTTAATTTACTTGTACAAGTTGGGTAGTTTTTATCCTCACCCCCCGCAGAATGGGCGAGAGTATTGCAATCGGTGGGTCAGTCTGTGTGTGTGTGTGTTTTGGGCTAATAATTCTGTAAAATATGATCGGATTTGTATCAAATTTCATGGGCAAATTAAAGTTGAGATTCCTCATCGCACTACAAAAAATGATCCGAATCGTTGATCATTCTGGATCTGAGAAGGTTTTTCTGAGTTTTTCGAAGGTGAAATTTGACGTTATCCAATATAAACGCAAGCAATCTCGAAAATGATTAATCATTAAATATGTATAGTATATTTTAGGCTTCGTTGTCAAACAGTAATTTTTGTGTAAAAATTACTTTTAGTTACAATTGTTTTATGAATAATGAAAAAGAAATGCATTTTCTTGTAATACCGGTAAAAAAAAACTGTTAGATAATCTGTAATTATTGGTTTCTTGATGAAAAATACAAATATGTTTCCCAATTATACTTTGATAACAAACTTTATTTCAATTCTTTAAAACAACGCACGAGCATATACAGATTCACATGTGTTAACTTTGAAATCTTATAGAAGTAGCTTTTCAATTACAGTTACATCTCGTAAGTATCTGGTATAGACCTTACACACATGACGTCATGCATTTATGGTTAGAGGAATGTGACGCCATATTGGAGAGAAATAGAAAATCGACACATGCAGAGCATATTTATAATTATCGATTTTCCTCCAGAAGAAAAATGACAAATTCCTTTTGAGCAGTTAACTGCCACAATATTGATAATAGATCTGTGGATTTATAAAATACCTGCAGTCACTGTTAACTCAGTTAGACGTGATAAATGGATCGCAGAATTTTAAGTTTGTTCATGACTACGCAACGTTAGCTTCTGAATTTTTCAGTTCTACCGTTCTGTCAGACAGTTTAAAACTAACTACTCACTTTTATCAATATAATATTCATTTTATTGTTATTTAAAATCTAATTCTCCATGGCTTGATCAAGTATAATGAATAGATAAAATAGAATGTATTTCTTCTTTAAACATGTACCATTTCAAACTGGTATTTACCAAGAATATTGAATATATTCTTCTTCATTAAGAAAATTGTTATTACGTAAGTATTCTAAATTCTCCATACTAACGTACTTGTTGATATAGTAATGAAGTACCTCAAACAAGTATCACGAATTTATTTTTTCCTGCAGCACGCGCTTTAGGAATGATAAAACTTCAGATATAGGATAAAAGGAACTTTACAAGGAAACGGTAAAGCTCGTATTACGCAGATTGTAAGATACTTGTATCATAATTACAGAATGTTTATGTAAAACGTGTTTCAGAATTTCACTTTGATAGAGTATAATAAGAAAGCAATCAATTTCATGAAAATATCGTGCTACATATGAAAAAAATTACAGAATCAGAGTATCAAACAACACAAACCTTGAGTTTCCTTTTTTTTTAAACTGTGTATTTAACTTTTATCAGTTGTATTTTTTGGAACGGATATTGCAGCAAGAGCGCATGCATTTTTTTTCGAACTTTAAGGCTCATGATTTCACGAGATGGGTTATGCTTTGTGGGACACGTGCCAAAATTTCACGTGAAGAGAACTTTGGATGAATCCTGTTTTTGTTACTAACAAGTGACAGCAGCATATGAAGATAAATCTTTGTTACCTAATACATTAGCTGGTAAGGGTAGTGCAGCATACTGCTTAGGAAACAAAATACAAAAGCAAACAAATTCCGGTACAAGAACTACATCAATAATACTAGTGGAAAAATACAGCTAAGCCTAGCGAGCTTTGACTTGATTGTACTTATATATATGTATAATAAAGTAATTTTCACTCCGAATGTCAAATTCGTATAAACTGGAGTCCTTGACAAAGCCAGCTGTAAAGTATTTTTTGTATCTTGTTTTTTATAGATCTTCAAAGTCTTTCAAGTGTAAGTTGATCTCGAATTTCTTAGACAATTGTAAATGTCTAGGTATCGTAAATTCGGTATGTTAGTGTAGGCGCTCTCGCATCTTAAAGCTCCTTGAATATTGCGTTATAGAGTAAATTTAGGTCATTTATGCCCATCAAAGAAAGATTTTTTTAAGTAACGTGTCCTATATTTTTTAATCATATGATTCAACTTAGTTGAAAACGGTGAATTTATTGTATTTTGCGCCGATAACTGAACTCGTTGAGAGGCCATTATAGGCGTAATCATCCTATTAGTTTCCATACAACATGGCGCCACAAATGGATGTCATGTAACTGTAATGGTATTTACTTAACACTTAAAGTTCTCATAGTTGCAGTGATGACATTGTAGTCCGAATATTTTGGCATGTGTCTCAGAATACTAATATGGGAACAAATTTGATTTGTAATATTGGTGTGTTATTTTGTCCACACTTCTAATGTTTTCGTATGAGAATTAAGAGCAAGTATTTTCTTACACTACACCTTTCATTCAAAAGTAACAATCGAAATGCAGATAGCGTGCAAGCACAACGACCAGGTTTATTTCTTGAAAAACATAGCGTAAATTGCAACATCATAGCTGTAAGTGGAAGTGGCGTTTATGTTTTTTTTGGTTTGCTTTATCGTTTATGCTGAACATGAGTCCTGGTTTGATCCTCCGCAGATATGATCGCCCTCCCGGACTTTAACGCTGGAGCGATGGAGAACTGGGGACTTATTACCTACAGGGAAAGTACCATGCTGTTTGATCGTGACGTTTCTTCTGCAAGTAATAAACAACGTGTCGCCACTGTTGTGTCCCACGAACTAGCCCACCAGGTATGTCTCTATGTTTTAAACAGAAAACAAAACAAAAATGGTGAACTTTCTTTCGCAGGTGTGTATACAAATATTGAAAATTAAATCTAATAAAGTTTAAAGAAATATGTCTACAAGAAATTACACAGAGTCAATAAGTTTTATTCTTTGTCTAACATTATTAGTGATTCATGACAAATGGGATATAGTGAAATCTGTATATGTGACTGTGAAAAATACCTTCAATTTTGGTGTTTTAATTTAAGGTAGTCCGTACAACAGAATCAGTAAAAGCAGTAAAATACTAATTATTAGCCAAAATAAGGCAACTGTGTTACAATACGGAGCTTTGTGTCACCTTTGCAGCTGGCGTTAGTATGTTAATCGTTTAATTCACGCAGAAATCATTGCTAATATAAATACCTTTTTATGTTCATTTATCTGCCAGTAATTGTGGTTTTAGAACAGAACATCGCTCCTAAACTGAATTACGGAATTCTTAATAAAAGTATAGTTTTATAGTCGATCAGACTGATTTTAATCCTTAACAGGCTAACATTCTAAATCAATTTTCGGCACAGAAATGCGTAATATCTTCCCAATTATCATTGTTTACATTTAAAGATAGTTAGAGACAGCTATCAGATACATCAGCTCTATGTAATTATTTTTTCTTCTATAAATGATCTGGAGTCTAATTACTTTTGGACTACCCTCTATATTTTAAGAGTGGTAATTTCACGTTACTGCTTGTAATTTTTGTGTAAAACAGTTAGCGATGTTTTTAATTAACTTGGCGCCGTGTAAGTATCAAACATTGTCGAATCACTGTTATGTATGTTCGTACGAATACATCAGTTAGGAGGCTTACGCTAGTAGTTCAGAGTAAAATTTTAATTAAATGTTTAGAAAACTGTAAATAGAAATCAGACTCACATATTAAATGGTGTAATCTTCTATCTAGTTCAGAGAAACCACACTAAAGTACAATTTCTAAGTTTAGGGCCGACGCTGCTCACTATAATAACCATTATTAAACTAGCGGTAAAATATCACAGCTGGTTAAAAAAGATTAAATTTGGCACTGTTTCAACCTCAACACAAGTTTGCATTTCAAACAGTAAACGAAAAAAATATCCTGGTAGAAGGAAAGCGTGGCTTTGTAACTTATCTTTACATCTGTCCTAACTGTAAACAGTGTTTTCTTTCACAATGTTTATAGAATATAGAGCGCTAGTTGTAGAAATAAACATTGAAATGAATTGATATTTCTGCTGTTAGTGCTTACTCTTTGGTTCGCAAAGGTTTAAAAAAGGTTTACAATATTAAATGTAAACTTTTTTTTAAAGTTCTGTTTTTAGAATATTCGTTTACATTTTAGTGGTTCGGCAATCTGGTAACTCCAAAGTGGTGGGACGATCTTTGGTTGAATGAAGGATTCGCTAGTTACGTGGAGTACCTTGGTGTCAAATCTGTAGAAAAAGCCTGGAACATGGTAAAGTTAAAGTGTCGAATTTCTCTAGTTAAAACGTATTCACAAAATGGGTATGTATTAAGCATGTTAAGGAATATTTCTATTATTTTATGTCGCTCAATGACAGAAAAAACATTAAGTACATTTTACGCAATATCCTTATAGGTGGATTTTATTCGATAAAACGCGAAAACTTGCTAAAGAAAAAAAACGAAAACAAAATGGTTATGAAAAAGTAAAAGAATCATAATTCAGATAACACTAGAACTATAAACGTGGATTATCCAGATGTTTTTGTAACTTAGATAAGACAATTCATGATTCTAAGAATTAAACTCCTTTTTATTTGAGACCTGACATGGTTTGGTGGTTAGGGCACGCCACTCGCAATCTGTAGGCTCTGGATTCGAATCTAACCACCAAACGAGCGTGTCTCTTTCAACCGTAGGGTCGTTATAATGTGACGGTCAGTACCACTATTCGTTGGTAAAGAATAGCCCAAGAGTTGGCGGCGAGTGATGTTTACTTCTATCACTTCTAAACTAGAGACGGCTAACACAGTTAGCTTTCGAGTAACTTTGCGCGAAATTGAACAACACAAACAAACTTTTTTATTTGCGAGCGAAATACATCGAAGCATTTACTGAAAACTTCAGTAAGTGAGCAACGCGAAGTGAATATTATCATCTTGCAAACGACTTTCAATAGTTGAAGCTTCAGCACAATAGAGTAAGGGTGAAAATAAACCTTTAACCCAAGTTAAAGACCATTCAGTAAATGGAAAAAAAAATATATATCATTTAATGTTTTATGTGCGCATGCACACACGCGCACAATCTGCAACCTGTATAGATCGTTATGCCAGATGATTTTTCTTTTCTAAGTCGACAATAAAATGGCACGATGAAATATAAACGAAGGCATTCGTGTTTGAATTCTTTTCTCATTTTAGTTTGAATAATTCTGAAAAATAAAATGTTCTTGATTTACAGAACTTAACACAATCGAGTTATTCAAAGCACAACAACACTGGGTGATTTTATTACTTCGAGATACTGCCTCCTCCAGTGGCACATCGGTATGATTGCGAACTTACAACGCTAGAAACCGGATTTCGAGACCAGTGGTGGGCAGAGTACACATAGCCCATTGTGCTTAATTACAACTGACGAATCTAGATACTGCAATTTTTGTTCGCATTTAACGCATATTACGTTATCAGTTCTTTTTATGTACAAGTTACTAGCAATCATGAGAAGTGTGATTTTAAATGTTTTAAGAAAATAAGCAGATGCTTTGCATCACCTTAAGTTTGAAAAAAGTAAGGGTAATAAATTTCTTATTTTTTACACCAACGTAGAACAGAAGATTTTAATTGAGAAACAATAGCTAGTCAGCAGTGTTTCCGCCATTTTGGACATTTAGTGTTGATTACGAAGAAGGTATTATGCTCGTCTCTAAAAACATATATTTCAATAATTTCTATTTGAATTTTGTATGTATGGCAAAACTACAAAGGTCATCTGTCGTTGTCCATAATTTTAAGCTACTGACCAGAGGAAGGGCTGCCAGTCAGCAGCACACTAATAACCACCATCACTGGTATGGGACTGACTGTTACACACCCGCAGCTTAATGTGCGTGGAATTTTTTCTTCTTTATATCTCACGGACTCGAATCCTGCTCGCCCTCTCAGAAATCCAAAGCTCTACCGGAAGACCAATCCGCTCCCATATTCTAATAAAGAAAGAAAATTATGATCTATTCAAATTAAAACTTAAATCAGTTCACTTATCGTTATTAACTGTAATTAATTTAGTAATTCCTCACCAGGGCATTCTCTATTGAAAAATGTATCTATAATAGACGGTTCTACTTGTTATTCTGGGAATATTCGTTACATGACGTGCACGAAAAAATACAATCCTAAACTGACCCTTTCATTTATTTATCACTGAAATGTACATAAAAGGTCACGTATCGGATCAACACGCTTTGATAAATATAGTTGTAAATATGTATGATGTTTTAGTTATTTTTTACTCACCACAGTGAACTGTACTTACGTAGGATTTGAAAGATATGTTATATTTATACCACTAATTTATACTTCTGAATTATTCAGCAAACGAGGTATTTAAGATACTATTTTTGTTTAGTTTAGTTGTAACTTGTAACAACAAGTATATAGAAAATCGTATTATTTCCGATAATTATTTTGAGAACTGTATTTTCCAGCTACGTTTATAATAAATTCGTAATTGAATTTATAGTTTTGTTTTACTTTTCAAGGATGCTTCTTGCATGGACAGTGTACAGATAGCCAATAGTGTAGCTTTGCCTGACGAAACCAACAACAAAGAAAAACTTATTGTGGGCAGTAGTGTAGTATTTAGTATGTTATTTTACTGACATACAGAAGTGAATAATGTAACAAGAAAGTTGCATATATTGTAGAAAATATTTATGATTCTATAGAGTTGATGTAAAATAACGTAACCTACTATAATATGTCTTAGGATCAATTTGGATGAAGTTCAGGATATAATGGGACTTATAACGTGTTTTTAGGATCAACAATTTGTACTGGATGAAGTTCAGGATGTAATGGAACTTGACTCTTTAAAGACATCTCATCCAATATCAGTCCCAGTTCATCATCCTGATGAAATCAACGAGATTTTTGACAGGATATCATACGGAAAGGTGGGGAAATAACAATTAATTCTGTCATTTATTGTGAGACAAAATACTAACAAGTCTTTTTTTTATGTGTGTTGATTATTTTTACAAGTGTTTTTTAATATTTAAATATAATCTAAATTGCTTCGAAAATAAGCACATTTGTTCGTATTTTCTATACGTCACTTAAAAGTTAATTTCTTTATAGCAAACTCCAAACTTTGATTCTCAACTAAACAAATAAAATATGTATCTTCTCCATGATGAATCACCTTCTACATCTTTGACTGATTTTTAACAAGACGATTTATTAATTTCTCACTTAATGGTATTTCTTTCATTTAAAAGGGTGCGTCTATTATTCGCATGATGAATCATTACCTTGGTGAACACAACTTTCGGAAAGGATTAACGGTAGGTTTTCTTTTTACGCTATGAAATATTTTACTGTTTCATCTGAATTTTGCAGTTATCTTATTGTAAATTACACAGCTTGGTCACAAGTAAATAGACACCACCTTTTCAGAAAAAATGAAAAATTTTCAGCCATATTTACATGAATTGATATACTTATAATTTAATTAATATCTAGTAGATCTTCATTTCGATTTGTGGAGTTCGTTGATCCTTTGGGGCATCGTGAGAATCATCTCGTCAATTTTAGATTGTGGGATGTTCGCCCACTCTTGCATCAAAACTTGGAGTAGAGCGCTCTTCGAAGTTGGTTTTTTTGTTGTTGTTGTTTCTTGACTTGTCGGTCGAGTATGGCCCAGAGGTTATCGATGGAGTTCATGTCAGGAGATTGGCTCGGCCAGGGCAACTTCTGGATACCATTTTCTTCCTGCCACTTTTGGGTGTTTCTAGCAGTGTGACACGCAGCTCCATCTTCCTGAAACAACGTTGTGTTCTTGTCCACGAAACCCGAAGAATAAAGTGGCAAGAGTCCTTCCTCCAATATTTCGAAGTATTTCGCAAAATTTATGTTGCCAACGCACTCCACTAAACTCGATCTCCCACCAACCCAAACAGCTCCCCAAACCATCACGCTGAAACCACCATGCCTCACAGTTGGCTGCAATCTGTTGAGCCAAAACTCCTTCGACTGTCCGAAAATTGAGCGAATCTTGATTCGTATGAGAACAATACGGTCTTCCAAAAGTCCAGAGGCTTGGTCATCATATCACTAGCCCACTTCTTTCGTCTGACTATGTTGGCAGGTCTTAATAAAGGCTTCCATCTAGCTGCTCTGCAACGATAACCCAATCTGTGGAGAATCCGTTGAACAGATTTCGGGCACATCCCACCAATTTGGCCACTTCTGCAGTCGTTAATCTGGGATCCATTTCGATGCTTCTCTTGACAGCCCTTTTTGCCCTCTCCGATGGACCAGGACGACTCGGACGCTGCTCAGTTGTTTCCTTGCCGTGTTTCATGAACTGCACGATGATTCTGTTGACTGTCGAAAGCGGGATTCCCCAATTCCGCGAAATTTGCCGCTGACTTATTCCACCATCTGCTTGACCAACTATCCTTCCTCTAACAAAATCTAACAATTCGAGAGAACCTTGAGTTCTAGGCATGTTGTAGCACAAATAATTAGTGTGTGAACCATTTTCATTTATATAGTG